TCCACATGGCAATCCCAGTGATAGATTATTGGAATGGAATGCGCTCTCTCTCTCTCTCCCTGGAGGGAAGCATCCTGTTTATCTAATTCTGGAAAGTATTAGGCGCAGGTTGGCGAGAGCCAAGGCTTAGGGGGAGCCTAGAGTGTGTGTTGGGGGTAACTGCTGGAGTCTAACCAGCTAAAACCGCATAGCTTGCCATTGAGAGCACTGTCTGGCCAGCTTTTCCGCTGCTTGTCCAGCTAGGCTACAGGGTTAACAGGAGCTGAGTGGGAGGATTCTCTGCTCCCAGTGACTGGTCTTGAATACAGCATCGAAGCCCGTTTATTCAGCAAGTTGGTCATGCACTTCATGTCTGTTTGCATTCCAGTTTGGCTGCTATCTTTACATACAAATAGTCACTACACTTAAGAGCGATCACTGTGGAAAAAGTGTAAGTTGTTTTGAAGTGTTAAAACTGTGCGCTCTTTCGTTCAATATCTTTTTATAACAACCACAGCAACAACTTGCACATATATATATAGTGCCCCTCATGCAAGGTAGGGTCTCGGAGTGCTTAACAGTGGCGGAGCACGACACCGAGCCGGGGGTGGGGGGTGGTGTTTGGGGGGAAGGAGGAGGTGACTATGAGCACAGCCCAACAATAAACAACGGGTCAGAACCCAGCGCTATAGCGTTGTCAAAGGTGACCTCAGATTGGTGTCAATGTGTTTGACCTGAGCTTCTGTCTGCCAAGCTCTCTTCAATCTTAGTCAGCAGCTTCTGAACGAGGCAGGGACGGACGTGGTCAGCCACATGGAGCCGGGCAGCCACACCTCAACCTAATGGCAGCAAGTGATGTAAACGGTCCAAAACCGAGGGGCCGGGGGGAGGGGGGGGGGTGGATTAGTGTAAGCATGACGTCATAGAGAAAGGGTATTCTGATAGCCCCCCTCCTCCCCAACACTAATGTGTACACGTGTTTGAGGCCACCAGAATTCCTCCCCCCCACCCTGACACACACATCAGCCTATATGATTGTTATAATAATAATAATCCTTGCACCTGATATAGCACTTTTCACGTCTTCTCGATGTCTCAAAGCGCTTCACAGAATAGACTGTAAAGTGAATTGACTGTATATTTGTGGGCGAAACACGGCAGTCAATTGCACACAGCAGCGTCCCACATACAGTCGTAGATTGAAAATTACCAATTTATTATTATTTTTTGTTTTGGAGGGATTATTAGGTGTGTGGAGTAAGGAAACTTGCCCAAGGTTTCACCCTGCCTGGGATTGAACCCAGGTGTCTCGCTTGCAAAGCGAGTGCTCTAACTACTG